TAGAGGTCAGTGCATCAAACAAATAATCTGAAACACAAAATCACGCGAACACTAAACATTAAGTAATTAAAAATATTATAGATATAAATTTTTAATTAATGTGTAGTGTTTAATTTTAACGTTTAATCGTAACGGAATCACCACATTTTCACGACAAGACGTTGTGCAATAATTTTGTTAAACAGTTCAGTGGTGCCAGACAAGAGCATAATAAGTAATATCATAATATCTTCATGTCTTCATAATAAATAAAATAATTAATTACTTTGGATGTTTGTGAGTACGCTAGTGAATATCCGGTTATTGTAATTAAGATAAGAAAAAAGCGCCGTTGGTGTTGGTGTTGGACTTCCTATTATACTGCGTCGTGAATGTCATGAATATTTTCATGCGAAATATGAAGAATATCAAAAACACTCAGATTGGTTTGAAGGGGAAAATTAAATGCCAATTCCTACTTCCGATGAAGAGTTAAGTTTACTGTCAAGAAAACAATGAAAACATGATAATTGGTTGGGCGGCGGGCCTTAAGGTTGCCGAGTCACGATTCCCCGGTCGAGCCTTGACCCTACTACGCGAGATGTTATACTAGATGGACTGTATACGCGGATGGCTTCTTCTGCCTCAACAAAATGGCGGCTGTAGCATGCGGTTCCTTGACAATGCACCCGCTCTTCCAAAAAAAAACCTATTGCTTGCTAAGGTTTATTGAAGGAATCCTGCTTGATCACATTAGAAGAAATGAAATTGGGGCGGATTAACTAATAAAATACTCAAGCAGGCATCGTAGTAAGGAAGCGCACTTACCGGGGTGTTACTTCTATGCGGCTTGGACGCTTTGTTGCTGCGGTGTGACTTCTGGCGGATCTCCTGGGGCCCCAGGATGCAGTCCTGGTCGGTGGTGCGATGGAAGAGAGCGGTGCGTTACTATATCTCACACGAGGTGAGGCAGTTACTCCTGGAGCGCGACTGCTCCAGGCGTGGTGCAGTTGAACTAGCGGTGAGCGTGGGCAAGAGCCCTCTAGGACGCGACTGTCCTAGGCAGTGTGGTTCCAACTAGCAGCCGAAGGGAAGAGAGCGCACGAGGTCCGCGTGCGCTTATATTACTTCATTCCTTCTTTCAAGGCGTCTCGGGGGGGCGCGCTTCTCATTGGTTTGCGAGAGTCACGCGACATTCTAGAATTATCTTCTTTCCCCTCTCACCCCACCACCCCGGTGTGTGCGGAAGGGATAGGTCGAAGGAAGAACAAATCTTGGCAAGCATACCGTTGAATAAAATAAAAATACGAATGGTTTTCCGCACAACCAATAATAATATGAGGATATCTATCGAGCTATGTGAATAATTAGCAGTAACACTACAGCAGGTAATTTTAAATAGTTTTATTTTAATTAAACATACACATCATATGTTAAAAAGACGGGTTGCACTCCGGGAGTGCCGTCAGAAGTGAAAACTTGAATATATACGTTGTCCATTTTTGATATTGTTACGCGCCTAAGTCGACGGCACTAGCACCATCTAGTCTCGAACCGAAGAACTAAACTTCTTGAAGTTGAAACTCGAACTCTCGGTACCTTGCGCGTGTTTACTTGAATATTCTGGATATTTCGGTGCCAATTTATATTTATAGGCGCTGCAAGATGCGATTGGGGAAGTATTGAATTCGGCGAGACAAGCGAAGCTTCGGAGCGAAATAAAGTGAATTAGTGTGATTAACTATTAGTGTTTTAAGTTTTAATTTGTGTAAAGAAAATTAAAGTGTTAATTTAGGTAATTTTATCGGCAATTTTTATTGTCACGAACCTCAAGCTCGTAACAATATTTTGGAATGGTTTGGGAATAATTTTGCACGAATTGCTTTAATTATCTGTATAAAAGTACTATCATTTATGTGGTAGAATACAATATTTATTTATTGCGCTATCGTACACAATTAAACGACACAGCAGGCGCGGGCATACATTTTCGCCGCGCCGTAGAAATAGAGGGGGATACTTCCTCTCCTACGCCGGCTGTCTCTTTCTCTCCATCCGTCTTACGCATTTTCGATCAGGGTCACGTGTCCTGACGCGAGTTTAACATTTTTTACCCATTACAAAAAAAGTGTACAACGCCGCTAAAGAAGTTTTCACTTCAAAAACATTAATTTATAGTTCACATTCCATCAAATTGTTCTAACATTTCAACAATATCATCGTCGCTTGTTAGGCCCGCCACACACTACATACGGAATTACGTTTCGTCATTTCGTAACGGAAGGAATGGGCAGGCCACACACATACGGAATGCCACACACATTTTGTCCGCGAAATTGCGAACGAAACTACTATAGGTGTGCGGCGGGTCATTGATTTTATATGGACTTGCTGCGTTCGGCATCCCGAATCGGAATTCCATATGTGTAGGCTAGCCTTATTGGTGTAGATGTACGAGAATATAATTATTTAAAATAAGCTTCTGCCAGTTGTAATGTTGGTATGTATTACTTTATTACAGCCATAATCTCAATCCTGGCATAAATTAAATAATCATCATTTGTTTTATCCATGAGTAGTAGCATCGAACAAACATGTCTCATTTTCGCGCTCGTCACCATATTGACGTTGAACATTATTCCTATACTCATGTATATCTATACTCTCGCGCATAACATTCGATACCTAATTCATTATTAGGTTGCAGTACCATTTGAACGTATTGGTTCATTTTTATTAGACGTGTTCCGTAATAATGGGGGTGGTGTGAACCGTACTATCGTCGTCCTCAAAAACATCATGACCGTCCTCATTGAGCATGTTTGAGGATGTTGAAGCGTGTTCTGTGTATTTCTTCAGAAAAAGTAATGAATCATAATGGATATACTTTCGTATTTAGAGGCAGCTTGACCTGATTTTGAACTTAGCTGAAACTTTAACTCCTTACGAAACTGATCCCTTAAAGATTTCCATTTTGTCAATAACTCAAGCCCTGAAACAAATAATCATTAATTAATTAACATATTAATTAAAACCGAACACTTCAATAGAGTTTTCGTTTTTTAAACGTTTTCAAATAAGGAGGAGGTTATCTATTCAACTGAATAATTTTATATGCATACACAGTCTGTTCAAAAATTATCGCGAATTTTGTATTTTTTCAAAAAGTATTTCATCATCATCATTAAAGCCCTTCACAAGTCCACTGCTGAACATCGGCCTCCCCCAAGGTATGCCACAAAGCACGGTCTTGAGCCACCTGCATCCATCGACTTCCTGCATGTCTTACCAGGTCGTCACTCCATCTAGTGGGGGGTCGCCCTACACTTCGCCCTTTATTCATAAATATCTATTTTGTCTCCTTCAAAGTAATTCCTTTGGGATATAATGCACTTATGCCAACGTTTTTTCCAATCCTCGAAGCACTGAAAAATATCATTTTTCGTGATCTTCTTCAGCTCCTCCTTCGATGCCGTCTTTATCTCCTCAATCGTGACGTAGCGTCATCCTTTCATGGGCCTCTTCAGTTTTGGAAACAGGAAAAGTCACAAGGGGCCAGATCTAGGGAATGCGGTGGTTATGGGACCATTACTGTGTTATTTTTGGATAAATATTCGCGCACAAGCAACGATGTGTGAGCAAGGGCGTTATCATGGTGCAATAGCCAGTTTTTGTTCTTCCACAAATCCGAGCGTTTCTTGCGGATTGCTTCGCGCAAATTGCGCATAGCTTGTAGGTAGTATTCCTTATTGACCGTACTACCCTATGGCAAGAACTCATGATGCACCACGCCCCTGCAATTAAATAAAACTGTGAGCAAAACCTTCACGTTCAACCAAACTTAGCGCGCTTTTTTCGGTCTTGGCTCATGTGGCAGCTTCCATTGGGATAATTGAGCTTTGGTTTCCACGTCATAACCATAAACCCTTGATTCTTTACCAGTTATGACCCTCTGGAGCACATTTGGGTCGTCACGGACCGAGTGCAACATCTCCTGAGCAATGTAAATGCGATGCTGTTTTTGGTCGAAATTGAGCAATTTTGGCACGAATTTCGCGGCGACCAGACTCATGCCCAAATCATTACTTACAATCGAATGGCACGAGCCAATCGATATGTTTAGGTCCTCAGCAAGTTCTCTAATGATGATTCAACGAGTGCCCAATAATATTTTCTTCACTTTATCAATGTTATCGTCTGTTGTAGACATGCTCGGGCGTCCGGCACGCTGTTCTCCGTTCACATATTCTTGGCCCTCTGAGAACATTTTGTACCACTGATAAACGTTGCTTTGGTTCCAAGGTAGCTTCACCATTTGCCACAGTCAACATTCGGTATGCGCCCGCGCAGTTTATTTTGTTTTTCACACAAAATTTAATACTGATTCTTTGATCCATTTTTTGGAAAAGGCAAAAATCGAAGACGAGCCAAAACACATCCAAGCAAAACAGCTGTCAAAAATTAACTACACATTAAACTGGCCGACTTGTCAGCATAAGTAAGGGACATAAGTACCAACGTAAGGCTATAAAAAATCAAAAATCAAATATACGTAGCCCACGGAAATTCAAAATTCGCGATACTTTTTGAACAGACCTCGTATGTGGTTCGATGTTTTCATGAATATTGAACCTTTTTTTTTCATTTTTCAGATATCTCGCCACTGGAACAAGTTATAAACGCCTTCAGAATAAGTAGAGAATTTCCAAAAAAATAAATGTTAGCGAAAGTGATAAAAGAGACATGTGGAATTATATGGAAAGTGCTGCGAATGCCGGATTTATATGAAAGTGAAAAAAATGGCCTAAGTATCGCGTAGGGATTTAAAGACAATTCAAATTTTCCACACTGGTTGGGAGCTCTAGATGAGAAATACATTTTAATTCAATGTCCCAAAAGAGCAAAATGAGCAAATGGGCCCAAGCCCTAAAAAGAGAAATACGCCAAAAAATTATTTTGATAGAAGTACTGAATATCCAGATGGGAAAACAAAGCAAAATTTGGATAACAAATACGTGCGCATGATTGCTGTTGACATGGAACCTTTGCGAAAGGGGGAATATGAAGGATTTCGGGATTTTGTAAATGCTCTCGATAGTAGATATGAAATTCCTGATACAAAAACTTTGCAGAAGATATTACTGCCAGAATATTATGAAAACGTGAAACAGAAGCTCGTCATAGCATTATCGAAAGCAGAACATGTTAGTGTTACTACTGATTTATGGACATCAATTGCAAATGAAGGCATCCTTTCAGTTATTTGACATTTGTTTCACAACGAAAAATTAATTTTGCACCATCGTTGAAAGTCGTGAAGATGGAAGGAAGTCACAGCGCAGAAAATATAGCCAGTGTACGTATTTTTAAATTTCATTGCCTTGATACCTACTAATTCAGTGTTTCTTTATAATCACACACAGCCAGCTCATGCGGTACCTTGAAGATCACCAGCTGATTAGTGACCGCCAGTACGGTTTCCGTCACACTCGCTCGGCTAGGGTTACCTAACTCATAAATGGGCGGAGGCAGTAGAAACTGTATGGAGTGGTGCTGCAAAAACCAAATTTCTAGAAGTTGAAAGGGCGCAGAGAAATTTACTAAAAATTATGTATTTAAAACCAAAAAGATTCTATACATCTTATATTCAGTTCTAAGACTGCATAATGCATTCACACACACCCTCTCACTCACACACGCGCGCGCACACGGGCCAATGTGTATATTCCTTTGGCGTGAATATTATTCGTTTTTTATTTTTATAGTTGATTATTATGTAAATATCATACAAATAGTAATGTTAGTGCTACGGAGGAATGGAGTCTCCTGACACAAGTTTTTATATTTAAAAGGAGACCTCATCCCCGGATATAATTTATGTATGATCATTTACTGAATAAACTATTTTTATTTATTATTTATCATTATTATTAAACCAATAATAGAAAAATTGACTACTTTTTGTAATAGAGTATTTTACCCATTTTCAAAAATTGTTTTAAATTTATCCTATCATAAATATATATTTTTTGATTTTATTTTACATGGTGTAAAACAGCCTATACTTTATTATAAAATCTAAACAAAAAAATAAAAACCTGTTCAGCAGACAAACCCGAATCAATAAAAAAATACATCATATGCTGGCAACACTTGGTAATTTACAAAAATATTCAGAAATTACGAGTTTTAACGATTATATTATCTTAAAAGTATTCACAGATGAAAAGTCACGGTGTCCTTTTGTAGATTTTTGATTATTTTTGCATGAAAATACACTGCGATTCGACATTTTTGTCGGAGCTCAATTAACTGACACGATCACTTGCATAATGGTGCAGTGCAAGACGCGAAGCAACTTGTTTTATATAACGCCTATAAGTTGTACTCTCGTACCTTTTGCAGAAGGGTATGCCTTGCGATGCCGTCTCCTTTGGTTTAATACTCGAAGCCAAACTCACATGTACTATCTCGTACTCGTACTCGTCGAGCACAACTTTCAAAAGAGCAACGCAACTTGATATGTGCTAAGAAAGTTATTATTAAATATGTAACTAGAAAGTTTGTGGACTATAGTTTTAAGAACTTTAGATAAAAAGAGAGTGTAGTGGAAAGTAGATAAAAAATTGCAAAAGTGAGAGAAAGAACAAGAGCTATTTCTTTAAGTGCAGGAAAATCCCTGTTTAATAGTGAGTGATTAATAATGTAAGCAATGCAAAGAATAACTTATTATAGAATTTGGGTAACTATCTGCTGTGTTGAACTGTCTTCAATATATTTGATGAACTTTGCAATGTGACGCAGCATCATATTGTGAAAAGTTTTTATGAACAAATTAGACTAGGCTGTATGTTCTAAAGTCTTTGCCTGCTATAATTGGCGAATGTAGTAACAACAAAATCATAAATAATTCCATAGAGTAGAATAATATAAACGGTATAGAAAATCAAATCAGTTCAAATTTGAATTTTGTTCGTTGTACTTGCTGCTTTCTGCACATCAAAAGCTATTGTTATTTTTTCTCAATATTATATTCTTACAAATTTGCTTAATTTACATAAGTTTTTACAAATTAGCATGGCTGAGAAATCGCATACGTCAAGAATATCGTCATACAAAAATGCTGGACATGGTACAAATGTAAGTTTCCATAATTATTGAAAGTATCCTGTATTATTTCAAATAGGAAGATAACATTTTGATCTAGTTATAATAGTTTCTAGCCTTGACATTAACAGAGAAATATACTTTTACCCCATCCCCCACAAATGTCCGATCCTTTGTTCATGTGCATAATTATTTATAATCCCGCGTGCTTCACGATTTTTTTCCTGTATTCCAAATACAACTATAACCGATTACTTATGTTAAAATTACCCCCTTTTGATTTGTTTATTTCGATTTTACTGAAATTGATGTTTCTGATAGAATGACAAAACGTTATTTGTAGGAACTACGGCGTAAGAGAGTTGAGCTCAGTGTTTCACTCAGGAAACAAGCTCGCGATGAACAACTTTTGAAGCGCAGAGCTCTTTCTCCGGATGAAAATGATGAGGTACAAAAAGAAATCGAAACACCAAGACCAGAGGAAATTGTGCAGGGTAATTATAAAATTAGATAATTTTTAATTATTATAAAAACTATTTGTCCAAATTGGGATTATAAAATAAAGATAATTTATAAGTAAAGATAATTAACATCTTTTTTTATACTGCACAGTACAGCTAACTGCAGTGCTAGTGTTATATCAAAATATAAATCAGTTGTCACTCCCATGGGTTAATATGGAATATGAAATTATTTTACAGATTTTATCGCATTTAATTTTAACTTTTTAATTCTCGACATTTCAGGTGCTTTATAGCATCCATGGTCATTAGGTGTTTGACATTTGTACCTTCTGTTTTTGAATATTAATTTATTTTAGATCATGGGTCAAGAATTAAAAAGTTAAAATGAAATGAGATAAAATCTGTAAAATTAGTTTAATATGTAGTGTTCATGTATATATAAGCAATTGTTAAGATGGAATATTCTCATTATGAGTAATACACTTAAAGTGTTCTACACCCCCCATATGAAATAACTTCAATGCTGACTGTGGTATTCATTGAGTTGAGTTTTACCTAATGGGGTCAAATAATCTTCCGGTCACTAGATGTTACTAGTTGACGTATGTTGTTTATGAGATAATAGAGATAGTCTCTAGCAGTTATAATAACTTAAATAATTTAGAATGTAGCTTACAAATCCTTAATAGTTGCAATTGTATAACTCCACAAAATGATAATAAAAATTGTTTACGCCTGGTGCATCAGAATATACAAGACATGATAGGCAAAGAGCTAGAAATTGAATTGTTCTTAAATAGCAACAATATTCATATTTTATGTATTACTGAACATTGGTTAAAAGCTCATAATTTAATGTTTAACTTCAGTAATCACCAGGTGGTCAGTTCTTTCAATAGAGAAACGATTTTAAGAGGTGGCTCCTTAATTTTGGCTAGTAAATTATTATCATGTAAAGTACATAAAGATATTGTGAGCCTGTCTGTTGAGCGAACTGTAGAAATGGCATGTATTGAGTTTGAGCACCTCATTGTTGTGAGCGTTTACAGACCCCTATGTTCTTTATATGATACTTTTGAAAAAATTATGGAGGAAGTTTTCACTAAGCTTAATAAACAGAATAAAGCTGTCGTAATATGAGGAGACTTTAATATTGGTTGCGCGGAAAACCATTCGTAATTTTATTTTATTCGACGGTATGCTTGCCAAGATCTGTCCTTCCTTCGACCTTCGGACCCTCTTCCCTTCGCGCTCTTCGTTGGAACCACACCGCCTAGGACAGTAGTGCCCTAGAAGGCTCTTGCCCACGCGCACCGCTAGTTCAACCGCCTTAGCCCGGAGCAGTCGAGCTCCGGGAGAAAACGCCTCACCTCGTGTGAAATATAGTCGCGCACCGCTCTCTTCCATCACATCACCGGACAGGAACGCATCTCTGGGGCCCCAGGAGATCCGCCAGAAGTCGCACCGCAGCAACAAAGCGCCCAAGCCGCATCGAAGCAACACCCCAGTGAGTAACTTCCAGTTATAAGCCCGCTTGACATAATTGTATTTATTAGTTAATCCACTCCAATTATATTTTTTCCTAGCGTGATCAAGCGGGGTTCCTTTATAGAGTTTGGCAAGCAATAGTTCGTTTATGGAAGAGCGAGTGCATTGTCAGGAAAAACGCATGCTATAGTCGCCATTTTGTGGAGACGGAAGAAGCCATCCGCTTATACAGTCCATTTGGTGTAACATCTCGCGTAATAGGCTTAAGGCTCGACCGGGGAATTGGAATTCGGTAACCTTAGGCCCGTCGCTCAACCATTTTCTGGTCATTCGGCCGGATTTAGACTGGTGCTATAGCCGCACCGTCCATTCAATCATCGAACTGTTAGATTAATTCCTTAGACAATGCACTCTAATTGCACTTAATATTGAATAGATTCAAATAGTGTTTGCTTAGTTTAAATTTAAACTTTGGTTAGTTATTCGCAAATAGAATTCATTCATTTAAATAGTGTTTGTTTAGTTTAAATTTAAACTCTGGTTAGTTATTCGCAAATAGAATTCATTCATTTAAATAGTGTTTGTTTAGTTTAAATTTAAACTTTGGTTGGTTATTCGCAAATAGAATTCATTCATTTAAATAGTGTTTGTTTAGTTTAAATTTAAACTTTGGTTGGTTATTCGCAAATAGAATCATTCAATCAAAATAGCTTGGTTCCGCACGGTCGGTGTACCCGACATTTCGTAAAAAGAAAAAAAACAGTGTGAGTTTAGCGAGCGACACGCGTCACCTCGGCTCGTTGTACAGGTGTTCAATTTAACGACGTAATACGGCACGATAAGACAACAGTGTAACAGATATAGTTGTGTTACATTGCGTCCATCCTCCAGCGTTGTGCGATTAATTGTGATTAAACTAATATTAATTCTAGTAATTTAAAGTAGCAGTTAGTGGAAATGAAATTAAACTTAAAACTCTTTACGCCAAGAGGGACGTACTATTTTCACGTATACAGTATATTAGTGATCACGTAAAGAACATTAACGTAGAAGCAGAGCGGGAAACGTTTTTGTGTGAAATTGAAACTGTGGATTCTTTGCGGACGGATTACGAAAGGATATTAGACCAAATTAATAATTTGGAATTACAAGTCTACCCGAAATAGACAGTGAACTACCAACCGCTTCTAGCATTCGAAGATATGTTG